GTGAAGGGAAGCATGTTAGATTTAAGCATTGGTATACAACATTTATACAATACCATACTGAATGTCCTTATACTCATAAAAATAACAATATGAAGTTAATTTACATTAGGTCTACTATGGAACCCAAGAATTATAGTACAATCAGAAGTATTTTAAAAAAGGAACAAGGTGAAAAAATTGCTCCTTATATTTTCAAAATTAATGATACTCAAACACTTGAAGCTTATCTAAGGAAAGAAAAGATTACTTATGAAATTTATCAAGAAGAAAGAAAAATAATAAATGTTAAGAAAAGAAAGCAAAATGAAAGTGTATTATTATCCAATAAAAAGCAGAAACATTTGGAAGAAAAATAACCTTGTTACAATATTGATTTTTTTTTCCTTTTAATCCTTTTAACAACATAGATCATAGCAGTTAAAAAGTTATATGGGCTATTTATAATCAAATAGGATTGTTTTTATATTCGTCAGCAACTTTGGCAAAATCTTCATCTTTAAGTCAGAGATATACATGATATGGTAATTAGCTAATTACCGTAAATACGTAATTCGTAATTAACGTAATTAATTATCACTTTCGCTCTTTAAAAACGTAATTACGTAATTAATTACGGTGACGAAACTAATTACGGGTGACGAAATTAATTATGAATAACAACGAATTAATTATTGGAGATATCATAATACAAATTCTTATTCGAGTTATTCATAATACAGTTGACCTTTAATTCGAATTAAAAATTTAAAACTTACGCCGGGTCAAAATTGACCAACATTATACAGAAGTGTTATCAGAATTTTCCATGGTGCCGGTCAATCTTGATCCCGGAGTAAGTTTTATTTCCTTATGTTTTTTTCAGAAACGAGAATGATTTTGATTGGTTCTCCCATTATACTGACATGTCGTTATAACAGAATAAATTCTATAATTCTAAAAAAAGTTGACAAATTATGTCATTATACTAATATAACGAGATAAATAATAGGTGTCATTTAATTTCGTCATTCGTAATTGATTTCGTCATTCGTAATTGATTTCGTCACCCGTAATTAATTTCGTAATTACGTATTACGTTTTTGGCAAAATAATTACCATCCTATGTATAATTTGGATGAATTAATGCAGTAATTGTTGAAGGATCAAATTTTATTTCATCCATTTTATCAAACTCTTTTATAATTGATTTATCTTGTTCAAGATACCAAATATTAATAATCTCATAAATTTCTTCAGCAGTTGGACATTTATCTGGATTAGCATCCATACATTTGAATGCTAATTCAATATAGAATTTTGGTGTATTGTTTGAGAATTCTGGTCTTTCACCTCCACATATTTTCATTGCAAGATCTATATCATGTGCCAAATTATTAAAAGGCTGTTGACCAGTTGATACTACAGACATCAGAACTCCAAAACTATATACATCTGATGCCATTGTATATGGTTTCTCTTTTAAAACTTCTGGTGCAATATATGGTAGTACTTCACATATACCATTTTTGTTTGATGATAATGTTTGACTAGCTGGCCTAAATCTGCAATATATGAAAACCAATAGTTTCGAAGAATATTACCACTATGAAGATCATGATGAATAATTTCTTTTTCATGAATATCTTTTAAACCTTCAATAATATAATAAAGAATTTCAATTTTCTGTTCCCATTTTAAATTTTTAAAATCTTTTTTAGTTAAATAATTTTGAAGACTTCCACCTTCCATATATGCCATTACAAATATATATTCTTTTGTAATTGGATCTTGTGTTAATCCATAAATATGAATTATATCATCACTATCATGAAATTTCATATAATTTTTGAACTAAAACAACAAAAAAATATTTAATTACAACAATAATTTTTAAAAAATCTGAAAATAAATAAATAAAAAAAAATTTACCTCATTAAGAAATTCATTAGAAATATTCTGTGAATTATGTAGTTTTTTTAATGCCACAGTCCTATCTTTACTAGTTCTTTTATTTCCATTAGCACCTTTCTCACCATTTAACCAAGTAGCTTTGTATATAGTTGCAAACCCACCTTCACCTATCTTTTCAATATTTGTCAAGTCATTATAAGGAATCCATTGAGGATAACCATAATTACCATACCCAGTTGCTTTAAGTTGTGTACTTTTAATTAACTCATCTAATGTTTCATTGCCACTAGTCCATCCTTCAGTTAATAGCTTTGGATCCCATGATTGACACCATGCCCAAGTAGTATTATATCTATTGCAGGTTGGACATTCCCCATATTTTTCTTTTCTAATATATTCATCATCATCATTTTTGTCAGAAGTATTGTCGTGATGTTTATTTTCATCCAAAGTGTTTTCCATCTTTAAAAATTATTTGTGGTTTTTTATATTTATATAAGTCAAAAAAAATTTATCACATAAAATATTAATAAATTAACAACAGAAATAAATCCGGCATGACACCCTACATATTAATATAAAGGACCCTAAAACTGTAATGTAATTATTTCGGCATATAAATATTGCAAGCGTGCGGTCTGAGTTATTGGAGTCATCATATCTGGCAAACTAAAATTAAATCGCTATATACAACTATACTGCTTGGTTAAGTTTCTATTTGATAGCTTTATTCGAATTATTTGTTTTACTCGTTATGAATTTGAGTATTCGAATTACATTGAAAGTTTATTATTATTATTATTCGAATTAAATGAATAACAAATAATTTGATAATTTGATAATTCAAACAAATGAATAAATTCAAATAAACGAATAAACGAATAATTTGAATAAAACGAATAAATGAATAGCTCGAATAAAACGAATAAATGAATGGTTGGAATAAACAAAAATAATTTGAATAGTACAAATAAATGGATAATTCGAGTAAAACAAATAATTCGAATATTTCAAACAAAATGAATAAACGAAATAATTCGAGTAGTTCGAATAAATAAATAAACGAATAGTTTGAAATAAATGAATAGTTCGAATAAATGAATAAACAAGTAGTTCGAAATAAAAGAATAATTCGATTAAAACAAGTAATTCGAATAATTCGAATAGTTCGAATAAACAAATAAACGAATAATTCAAGTAATAATTCAAACAAAATGAATAATTCGCATAGTAAACGAATGATGATAATTCGAGTAATAAACAATGGTAACAATTTGAATAAACGAATGATAACAAGTCGAATAATAAACGAATGATAACGATTCGAATAATAAACGAATGATGATAATTCGAATAATAAACGAATGATGATGATTTGAATAAACGAATGATTTGAATAATGCGAACAAAAATTTGTATTATGAATAGAAACTTTGCTCTATCGCAGAGCCATCACACAACCAATAATGTTCAAACTAAACTAAAATCACCATATACAACTACACTACTCGAGGCGTCCCTACAAGCAATATAGTAAAGCTATTAAAAGGAGTTCCTAACTAATAATTAAATGTTGTCAAACCATTAATCATCAGAAAGGGTTATGAATCAATAAATCATGCCAGATTTATTAATTATTATTGAAAGATCAATTATTTGTTTTTATTGATTAATTTTTTCACGGAAGGAGAGATTTCAAGTATATTTATACTTCTTGAAGTATTACAAATAACATGACCTTTTACATGATTTTATCCAATAAAATAAAATAAAATAGAATGATAATGCCAAAAATGAGTCATTGATGATGTCATGATTAAATGATACTTGATGAAATGTTTTTGCGGCAAAAAATTATTTTGTCATAATTAAAAATAATTAACTATTTGGTTTGAGAATATTATTAAACAGGAAAATCATAGAATTAAAAGATTATGACAATCATGATTGTTATATTTGTAGTCTTACTCTAAGTCTAAAAACGTCATCACCAAATCCATCATCTTTAGTTCTCAAACTCATACTAAAAATAAATAATTTATGAGGAAGAAGTAAAAAAAAGGAGTATTTCTTGAAAGTATTTTTTAAATGAAACCATCAGAAGTTCAAGATGCTCAAAATCTTAATGATGAACCTAATTCATCAAGCAAGGATTACTTTTTAATGCAATGCTTAGAATATGAAAATGCAATAACTCAAACATTTGGATGAAATTGATAGGTGTTTAGATAATATAATAACACCAGTTCCTGATGAAATATTAATCTATTCAATGGTGTAATGCCGCAGAAAACACGGAATGTGTATTTAAAAATGAAAAATACTAATAATAATAATAATATTATTATTATTAATACTAATACTAATACTAATACTAATATTGAAAAGATACGTTTTGATTCCGCATATAAGGTACGTAATGTGTAAAACACGTTCTTGTTATCAGGTAGGTCCTATGTAATCACTGGCAGAAATAAAAATTTAATTCAAATATATTCCTTATTATTAACGATAACTGATTGTATCACATGATTATAATATAAAGTTGCAAAAAATAAGTTTGTTTATTTCTGCCAGTGATTACATAGGACCTACCTGATAATGAAAGACATCCTTCCAAGTTAAGTAATTAAAGCGTTTGGATCATATAAAGAATATATTTTACTCAGCGTACCATACTTATCAAAAAACGTTGAACAGTCCGAAATTTTGATTGTTAGCAGGATTCCCTGTATTATCCCAAACATCATTCCCATTGTTCCATTTTTAATTTACCCAATTCTTTCTTTCTCTTTCGACTTTTCTTTCTGCTCTGTTTCATTTTCAACTTTATTATTAGTTTTATGCATCCTTTTTTAATAAATACTTACCTTCTAAATCTTTGGTTGATCTTTATATTTGTCTTTTTCTTTTAGGAATAGGTTGTTTTTTGTTTATCCTTAATAATTAATATAAAGCAAAAGATTTACGTGTAATATTATTAACTAAATTGTATAACGATACAATAGGTTGCACGGAACATGTTTCTCTTAATTTATTTAACGATCCATACTTTTTATAATTAAACTCTTACTGTTATACCACCTTTGCTCCCTTTTTTGGACTACGATATGGAACATTATACTGTCACGTCAATTACACAGACAGTCTCCGCTATGCTGTTCAATTATAAAAGGTAAGTGATAAGAGTGTATCTGGACTTGGAAGTGGCAATCATATGCTGGTGAAATTTCAAGAGCAAACATGCTTTGTGCAACCTATTCTATGATTATTTTTAAAGTGGTTGTAAAGTTTATCGCATCAAAAAACATTTTACTGTGATCGTATTTTTAAACCGTTAAGAAATTTTTTACATTGGTATTAGATTCCTGATAATTAAGTTGATAATAAATACTTATAAATTTATTTCAAAAATCACATGACTTCAAAGATTTTTTGTTAAAAGTCATCATTTTTGAGCGAATACCAAAGGAGAAATTTGGTGGTGTAGGGCAGAATTGTGGTTATAAGTTTCGCACGTCATAGTAGTAGTAATAATGTAGCAAACCAAGCGAGGTTAATTGTATATTATCAACCACAAATGCAACCAATCAATTACGAAATTTATCTATGTAACACCAACCCAAATATATATGTATTTTTTGATTTGTACTACGACAAAAATTGGCATATTGAATAAAAAAAAAATTACACTCCAAAAAAAAAAAAAAAATGGCAACGTCAAAAACCAAGACTAATAATAACACCATCACAACAACCACCACCAACAACAACACATCTACATCAAATCATAGTAATAATACAACTGGTGCAGGAGGGAATGGTAATAATGGCGGAGGCGGTGTAAGTAGTAGTAGCAGTAATAATAATAATTCAGCTTCAAAAAATGGTAATATAACAAATTCAACAGATGCTCTTCCTAAACGTCTAACAAAAGGAAAAGAGCCTGGGAAAGAAGTACCAGTTGTAAGTATTTGATTATGAAATAAAAGAGAGACAATGTAATAGGTGCTTGATAAGATTCCATCTTCATTTACCATTACATTACATTAATACAGTTAGATTTCAACACATTTGATATTTCAGTATTACGTAGATATAAAAGAATTCATAAATTAAAGGTTAGAGATTACGCAACAAAAGAAGAATTGGTGGCAGCTGTAACTCGACATTATGCAACACAAACTGTTAAAGAGGTTGATATGATCGCGTCATTTATTTACGCTGTGCAAAATAAAGGTTCGTTCCAACAACAATCATAGTATTTTTTGTTTGTTGTGAGTTTTTTTTAATTAAATGTTATAATGTTTTTTTTTTTTTTGTATAGACAACACATTGAAGTTACCGATTCCTTGAAAAATCTATAAATTAATAAATTAAATAAGGATTAATCATTTTAATAACATAATAAATAAAATCATAAATTATATACTGTAAATGCAAAAACATTATTTTACACAAAAAATAAAATCCATATATAATAACATCTATCTATCATTTCAGCAATTTCTAGATATGAGGTTTTCAATCCCAACAAATTAACCATTTAAACCGCTCTTTCTTTCTTTTAATTACTAAGCCTCTAAATGGTTCATTTGGCCCTTGAAGTTTTGGCCTACAATTATAATTAGAAGGCCTCAAAAAATTTCCGGTTACCTCATTATTATTCCTACATAATCGGCAACAGATTTTCCTTTTTAATTTATTTATTGCCTATTTCGTATAACGTAAAATTTGATAAGATTTTTCTATATAGCTTTTTTTTTTTTTTTTGAATATTAAAAATTGTTAAAAATGATGAGTTTAAAGTCATCAATACGTTCAATAAAGCCTAAATTCTTTTTGGAATTACGAAAAAGTTTTTCTATTAGCACTATTAGAACTTCACCATATGATGATACTATTAAAAACATGAAACTTACAAAAAACACTAGAGTTGTTTGTCAAGGTTTTACTGGAAAACAAGTAATTACTTGCATTAGTTGACTAACAGTTGATTTTCTTTAATATATTATTATACATCTTAACAATTGATTTGATAGGGAACGTTTCATTCACAACAAGCAATTGATTATGGAACTAATGTAGTTGGCGGAGTAGCACCTAAAAAAGGTGGTCAAACACATTTGGGAAGACCTGTATTTAATACCATAGCCGAGGTTAAAAAAAAATTTTCAAAAAAAAATATATATATATTTGATTCTTTATATAATCATATAATCATGTTGAATAAATGTGTTTATGTGTATTTATATATTTTTGATAGGCAGTTAGTGAAGTTAAACCAGATGCTTCTGTGATTTATGTACCCCCACCTTCAGCTGGAAATGCTATTATAGATGCCATCAAGGCAGAAGTTCCTTTGGTGGTAGCAATTACGGAAGGAATTCCACAGCAAGATATGGTTCGAGTACGTAATAACCGTAAAAGTATAATTGGATTTTTTTTTTTTTTCTTATTTAAAATTTAATTTTTAAAAAAATTTTTTTATAGGTTGTTAAAGCTTTAAAAAACCAAAATAAAACACGTCTTATTGGTCCTAATTGTCCTGGAATCATAGTGCCAGATGCTTGTAAAATTGGTATTATGCCCGGACATATCCACAAAAAAGGAGTTGTCGGAATTGTTTCAAGATCCGGTACGTTAACATATGAAGCAGTTAATCAAACCACTCAGGCGAATCTTGGACAAACTTTATGTATTGGAATTGGTGGTGATCCATTTAATGGAACAAATTTTGTAGATTGTTTAAAATTGTTTTTAGAAGACGAAGAAACAAAAGGTTTTATTTCTTTTTTTTAAAAAAAAAACCCCCTCGAATGAAAATTCAAATTAAATGATATCATCATCATTATTGTTATTTGTAATAGGTATTATATTGATTGGAGAAATTGGCGGTACTGCTGAAGAAGAAGCAGCAGAATTTTTAAAACAACATAATTTGTCTCAATCTCAACCAAAACCTGTAGTTTCTTTCATTGCTGGTTTAACTGCACCGCCAGGACGTCGTATGGGTCATGCAGGAGCTATAATTGCTGGTGGTAAAGGCTCTGCAACTGATAAAATTAAAGCATTGGAAAGTGCTGGTGTTATTATTTCAAAAAGTCCTGCTAAACTTGGAGTTCATTTAAGAGAAGTTAGTGGTCAAAAAAATTTTTTTTATATATAATAGTAATATTATTATTATTATAATATCACTAATATATATATGTGTGTGTGTGTGTAATTTTTTTTGGTAGGAAATGGAAAAAGCAGGCTTGATTTAAAATATTATAAACAAACAAATATATTATTATATTATAAGGATTATTACTACCATTTAACAACACATTCATCATCATACAATTATTTAATTCATTTATAAGAATTTTAAATATATTTATTTACAGTTTTTGCACATAGTCAGTTGTAATAATGTCTCTGAGGAAATCGGCTGCTAAGGATTCTATGACCAGAATAATATATTTGGTAAAAATGTATTGGATCAATTACCAAGACTTAATTTTTTAACAATGTACAATGTTATATATAAGAATTTTATTTTATTTTCAAAATAAATAAATGAGCTTTATATAAATGTGAATTTCAGTTTTTGTATTTTCAACAAAATCACTAATAATAATAATAATAATAATAATAATAGCTCGTAGTTTAATTATAATCATCTTATCATTTACTATTAATCATTAGCATCAATTATATATTTCTTTCTTTTCTTTTCCCAGTATCTTTACTGGTAATAGTGATATCTGATAATTTTCCTTCAGATTGAACAAAATCCAAACCATAAATTTCTTCACCAAAAAAATGTTTTTTTTAAAGTCAAATGGATGATCACGAGTATCTCGTACTAATTTAATTGGCGGCTTAGATGATGTTGTACACAAGCTCGCTCCATTTGTTGTGCGAATAACTTGATTCGTTCTTTTCTGATAGAATAATGATTAATTGAGTTTTGAAATAACAATGAAAAAGATGTAGATTTTTTGGAAGAGATTATCTTTTTCGCTAAGCATTAAATTCATTGCAACTATAATTCGTTGGGTGCTCGTTTTGAAGAGTTTTAGTTATTACTAAAACATTTGCAAACATTCATGTCCGATATAAACATCTTGATTTCAATCAATTTTTATTTAACCCCTATCAACTGTTAAAAAAGTTTATGTTTAAAAATTTTAATTTTTTAATGAATCATAAAGTTTTTTTCCTCTTCCAAATAAGGCCCGTAATCACTGAATAGTTTTATTATAAAAGGGTTAGGTCCCCTCCAATTCTTCATTAAATTCCAACTATCAAAAAGAATTATATAGTCATAAAATCATGGTATTTAAATTTAATTGCTCATGTATTTTCTTGCTATAAAATCAGAGATTTTGCAATCTTGAGTTTCAATTGGGTATTCTTAAAAATATTCCATCCTTTGGTAAACCACTGACTGTTGGTTTTTTTTTAAGATGTTTTCCGTGGATTCTTATGAAATATAACAATTCCAATAGAAATGGCCGTAGCTTCAAGGTTTGGAAGTAAAACATTTTATATTTGTCCTTGGCTAAATCATTGCGAGGACCAATTAGCGATAAAATCTCCAAGTTTTGAAATGTTGGCATTAAAAGAATCCATGTTAACTTTCTCATGACTTACATAACAAGTTGATGTTTTTTTAAAAAATATTCTAAAAAAATTAAATCAAAATTGCATGTAAATAGTTAATTTTTTAATTGATTTTGTGTTATATATGAGATTAATTGCACCAGACTATTATCATAAATTATTGTTAGATCTTGAACATTTCTACAACAAATATTTGTTAATTAAAAAAGTGACAAGTTAACTGATAAAGATTCTGAAAGCAAGGATCAAATCTATGATAATTAATCACTTCACTCCTGTATATGTAATTTGAATCAGTTGCAAGTTTCTCGAATAATGAATAATCTAAAAATAAAAGTTGTTTCCAGACAATCAAGTTTGCCAGATTCTATCAATAAACTCGTTTGATCAAAAATCCAATTCAGCCACAAATTTATAAAGACGATTTCTTCAATAATTTAAAAATCAATCCAATCCCATTTTCCACCAAGAAGCTCTTGTCTTCAACCAATAAACAATTAATTAATATTTAAATACTGTTTTCAGGATTAAATGGATCTCTCCATGATGTTGGAATATTGAAATTGTGCCATTTTTTTATTAACTAGAATGCAAGAGTATAATGTTTTATAATCATCATCATCTTCAATATAACTAATATTGGTATTGTTGCAATACATTTTTTAAAAGCGGATTTTTTAAAATTAAGAGTTTATTATTGGAAGGAAATCATTGATAGATAATCTACGAAAAATAAAAATTGATAAAAATTTTTTTGTAAAATTAATATTTTTAATATGCTTTCAAAATTATATAGAAAATCAACATCTCAAACGATTTTTTTGTCATTACCATTAAAATTAAAAAAAAAATCATTATTTTATATTTTACCAAGACCTTCAAATTGCACTCTTTATCATCAACAAAATCAAATGTATTCATCATATAATAGTAGATTTAGTAAAAAGTAATAAATCAATCAATAAATCAATCAATCAATTGATAATTATGATTATTTAATCATTAATTAATTGATTATTTTAGGTTAGAAAAAAAATTATCGATTTTGGATCAAAATATTCAAAGATTACAAGAAAAAATATCAACTTCTGATAAACAAAATATTTCAAAGGTTTTTTTTGCTATTTATTATTAATTAAATTTTTTCTTACATTAGACAATACATATTAATATTTTATTTAGACGGAATACATTCCGTTTTCAAATATTGATGACTCTGAAAGTATATATCGATCAATTACTTCTTCAAATAAAATTTCATTATTGGGAAAAAGAAATAACGATGAAGAAAATGAAATTTTATCGGAATCCATAACAAAACCAGAGTCATCATCTTCATCATTAATAATTACAAAAAGAAATAATCCAGAAGATATCATCAATCAATCATCCATTGATTTTGATCAGATTTTCAATCTAAAAACAACCACAAAGAAAAAATCTTTAAAAGAAGAAGATGAAAATTATTTAGTAAACCAAGATAAGACAATAATAAAGAACAGTGATGTAAATATACACAAGTGCATTTGTTGAAAGAATAATATTTAAAATAGCATTTTTAATATCAATAATAATTATTTAGGCAATGTTCAAAAATCTATATGATCCAGAGATTATAAAAAGACTGGAAAAGGTTAGATAAAACAATGCCAAAAATTGATTTTTAATAACAATCAATCACTTATTTCTTTCTTTATTTAGAAATCTGCACTGTCACCAGATCTTATAATATATGATCACCTTTTAAATCATTATTCAAATATCGGAAATCTAGATCGAGCGATTGAAATTTTTGATCAAATTGAAAAAAGTATTATATTTATTAAATTTATTTGAATATAGATAGTATTTATAAAGTTAATGTATTTATAATTTTTTTATTTAGATGGATTTGTGCCAACATTATACAGTTACGCGAATTTAATTAAAGCTTATGCATATCATAGAAGAATCAATGATGTATTTGAAGTTTTCAATAAATTAAAGATGGGGAATTTGATACCAAATCAGGTTAGAGAATTTTTTAATATTATGTGAGATAGAAGAAGAAATCATGTTTTAATATTAATGTGATTTGCGCGTGTTTTAATAATGATGATAATAATAAGCCTATTTATAGTATTCTAATTAAATGTTGTATTGATAATAATGAATTAAAACGTGCATGGGTTATATTTGAACATATGCGTTTGGAAGTTTGTCAACCTGATGAAATGACCTACAGTTTAATGATTCATGCTTGTGCAAAGGTAATTAATAATAGTTAATCGTTAGTTATACGATAATGATAATTACTATTATTCTCCTTCCTTCCTTCGTCTTATTAATGGAATTATTGTTTTATTAATATATCAAAAAAGGAAAAAAACGCAGAAAAAGCCTTTGATTTATACAAAGAAATGTTAGAACAAGGACTAAAACTTACTGGAATTACATATAATTCATTAATCGATGCTTGTTCAAAACGAAAAGATATCTTTTTTTATAAGAAAAAAATTGTATACAATTTGAATACAAGTATTATTATTTTTAACTTATGCTTATTAAAATAAAATACATTATTATAGAAAGGCATTTGATTTAGTTCAAGAAATGAAAGAACATGGATGCTCGCCTGATCTGATTACATACAATTCTTTAATGTATGCATGTGCTATAAATAAAGATTTAAAATTAGCTAGGAATTTATTTATATCAATAATTCAAAGGTAATTATTATTACTATGGTAAGCATTATTATTAATATTATTAAACATTTTTTTAAAGCAAAATATTAATATTTATTTTATTTTATTAGCTCAAAGGAAGATCCATCATTAGCACCTGATGAATTAACTTTTTCAAATTTATTCTGGACTTATTCATCTTATCAAGAAGAATTAAACAACAGTAACAATTCTATTGAAAATTCCAATATCATTGACAATAACAAAAATGAGAATGTTTTAACAGGAAAGGATGATAATGATGATGGTGATAATGATGATGATAGTTTATCAAAATCTGAAATTACATCTGAAAACACAATGAAAAAATTTAAAAATAATAAAATATTGATTATTGGAAAAGATGAGTATCCAATATTCTCCACTATTCCAACGTCACATTTACAAACTCGTTTAGAAGCCGAAATGATATTTAATTATTTGTTGTCATCATTATCAGCAAAACAAATGCTGTCCAACAACAACAACAACAACAACAATACAAAATTAACGTCTCGATTAATTTGTTCGTATATGAGTTTAATTGAGAACAAATCAAGTTTTGATAGTTTATTAAAGATTTATAAAGAAATAATACCAAAACATCAAGTGGAGTTAAGTAGTTGGATATTTTTACATATGTTAAATGCTTGTTACAAATATAATCGATTCTCTTTGGCATGGGATGTCTGGAACGATTTTCTTGGATGGTCACGGGAAGAAAGCGAGAGAATCTTTAAAGATTTTAAAAACGTTTACCAACAAAAAATGGAATTTGAAAGAATTGGTCTTACTGAGGAATTAGAGTACAAATTGTATACTATAATGATTATTACTTCAGCAAAGCAAGTATTTTGATAATTTTATTATGAATTATTATTATGGATTTTTAATTAATTTAATTAATTTTTTAATAATAATAGAAGCAACAATATTCATAGTAGTATGAAATTAATAAAAAATTTATCAAATAAACATAAACCAAAACTAAAAGACTTTAGATTATTGTTAACCAGAATTAAAGAATCAGATGAATTAGGTGATGAAACTGCAAAAAGGTATAAAAGAGAAGTGATTACATTATGTAACATTAATGATAAAGAAAATCGATCAAATATAGTAAGAAATAGATTAAATAAAAAATGGAATCATCCAAAAAATTTGTATTATAATAGCAATAAATTCAATAATAAAAATTTATCAAGGAAATTTATTAATTATTAATTATTAAAGGGGAAGGGGAGGATAATTTGGTTTTATTTGTAATTTATAACAAGTCTACAACTGAGAACGCGATGTGAGCCGTGCTACGCGAGAACAAAAATTCATTTATTTTAATATCACTTCGACATCAAAGTTAAGTTGGGTTTGGATTGCGCCTCCTTCGTCGCAAAAAATACATCACTCAGGCCAAGACAATAGTATATTTTATTAAATTCGAAACATATAAACAGGACTAATGTAGAGACATTCCTCTCGTACATGGAATTCAACCTTCTACATTCAGCCACGACATCCTCCTGTCCATTTTCAAGTAATCAAGATAAATCCAAGTTTACACATTCAAACCATAAAATCATTTGTTGTTATACAAAATAGTAACTCATGAAAAATACACTGCGCCGAGTTCTTCAGATCGATGGGAGTTTTATTTCCTGGTAGCCATTGCCACACATAACTTCTTTATCACGTGTATTTGCTTTAAGAAAAATTTTGAAGAAAGTTGTTAAAACCGAAAATAACCTCAGCCTTAAATGTAAAAATTTGTTTAGCACGTCCAAAAGTAAAAATAAATGCCCAAATAATTACATTATTATTATTATCCCTATTTTTTTTTATTAAATAAAAAATTTAGTTATAACGATTTTATATAATAATAATATTAAATTCATTATTTGCGTTCAAACAAGATCATACTCCACAGAGGCATGAGTATACGAGAGAAATAGGTTTAAAGTATACTCTAAAACTAAAACTGCATTTTTAAATAACTTTTGATACCTTTTGTTCTCGAAATGATATAGTTAACTTATGGAAGAACAAATTTTTCATGCAAAAACAAATCGAAATTGATCATCCGTTTTTCGTGAAATATTAATATTGATATTAATATTAAAAAATTTATTATTTGCGTTCAAACAAGATCATACTCCACAGAGGCATGAGTATTCGAGAGAAATAGGTTTAAAGTATACTCTAAAACTAAAACTACATTTTTAAACAATTTTCGGCATCCTTTGTTCTTAAAATATTATAGTTAGCTTATGAGGGAACAATTTTTTCATTAAAATTGATCATCCGTTTTCATATTTGCCAATATTTTTTCCACAATACTACCGCCATTCAACCATCATCCCCATTTTTGTATATGCACGCGCAGAATCATTTGAATTCAATGAATTTTATTTATAATTAAGTCGTGTGATTGACGCGATAAATTTTATTTTTTTTAAAATCAAAATCGATAAAAAAAACGTCATCATCCGCCATCATCACCATGAGGAACAACCCACACCAAGAGGAAACATAATAGGAGTAACAACCACGATGGACACGATAAAGGTGGTAGTGGTGACAATGACAGAACGATGTATTATTTTTTTTTTTGTTACAAACATATTTAACTTACACTAGATTAACAGTAGAAAGGTAAATTAAATTCTAATATATCACAATATTTAAAATTGTATTTTTAATTTTATATTATATTCTTCATTTTTAAGATTCACACTTAGGATATTTTTCATTTTCACGCATATATTACTTTCTCTGTTGATTGATAATAATACCATTTTGTAATATATTATATAAAAAAAAATAAATATTAATTATCATTATATATTGGATTGCATCTAATATAATAATAATTAAAAAGTTTTGTCGCAAAGGAATATAAATTCAGCATAGAATAGCAGAAATATAAAATTGTTTGAACAAAACTCAAATAAAAAAACAATGTTTACTTTTAATTCTTTGAGTTTATTTAATTATATCTTTATGTCAAGATCGTGATAACATTTAAATAAAGAAATACTAAAAAGTATTTATTGTAAAAATTTTTTGAATATTCGTCTTTATACGAATGTTAGTCGCAATTAGTCTGTAATGATTGTTAATGTTGAATAACAAAATAAGAGTAAATTCCATCATAACCACTGTTTATATTAATCAAACCTATAATCACATTAAAATGCTTATATTTTGATGAGTATTCACGCAAATTTTCATCTTTAATACTTTTTTAGAGAAATAGAAAATAACTGACGTGTGATGTCGATCATCCCAAATTTATCAGTTTCACTCCCATCTGTAATAGTTTTGTGAAGGGATTCATAATTTGTCTGAGCGACATACCGAGTGCAGCCTCTAGATATGGCATTCAAATATGGTTTTTCGATTGATTTAATATTTAGTAAAGGATTAAGTGCTCCGAGTGCAAATACTTTGATACTACAAGTATAACGCCTTTTGGACAAGGATCGTCAATTTGACATGAATATTATTATTATTAAGGAATATCTTCAAGCAATAATTGTTTGAAAAATTCTGGTTTGGGTCGTAAATCAATTATATCATTGTTGTGATGATATTTTACATATTCAAGAATTTTAATGAGCATTCCTGAAGTGATAGAATATTAATACTAGAATAGAAGTGAATTTTAACTTAAATACACTACTACTATTATAATCATATATTCACTTCCTCGACAATGTTGTCTGAACTATAGATTTGATTTTGTATATTGATAACATCATTACTGGTTGTCTGTTGATTTGGATTAATCTCACCGCTCAAATTAGTCGAAAAGTAATGATGGCTTATTAATTGATCGAACGATTTTATCCCAGTATAATGATAACATACATTTGTCTTCTCGCGAGCATGTAAGAAGATAGCATAGAAAATCAAGTACAAGTTAAAAAAAGACCAGCAAGAAAAAAAAAACGGAGGAGAGAAAAGCTTTAAGACCTTGGAAAGGAAGGAAATAAATGCATTAATTGATCTGCAAAGTCAATTTTTGCCAAAAATCAAGTTTAATAGAAAGCTCAACATCGAACATGCCATGTTGACTTCTCTCTCTATGATCACCACATCCATGGTCAATAGAGACTTCATTCGTAACCATTTTCGTAAAATTGCAAATTACTTTTTATAGATAAAATTACCAAAAAGACATTAATCAAATCAATAATTAATCCTGAAATAGAGATTGAATGTTGCACTGTCGTTTTCCAAAATAAAAAATACCCCTCACTCAATAAATTTCTATGATAACTAAAACCAATAGAAATGAATGGGAGCTATTAGGTTGCCTGCACCATAGCAAAAAATTAAAAAAACTTGTGATATTACCTATTACGTCACAAATATCATATATATAATGGTTTTACAAGCATTCTCAAAACACAAGATTTTCAGGGATAAAAGGGGAAACCTTAATTATGTATGCTACAGAATAATAAGTAATAGTAATAATAATAAAGAATTTATTTAATTTAACGAATTCCTTTTTTTCTTTTTTTTTTTTTTTTCAATTATTTAATTATTTAATTAATTATTTATTTATTACTAATTATTCTATCAATTATTTAAAAAATTTTCCTTAAAAAAATCAAGTAATTAATGCCGAAACCATACAATAAACCTCAAAGGCGTAGATCTTTTATTGGACAATGGGACAAAACTACCAAAGTGGTGAATGTCAAACAAAAATACTATGTTAATGAGGTTGATAAATACACAGATATTCAAAAAGCAACTTTTACTCGCTGGGTCAACATTCAGTTACGCTCGATTCATCAATATGATTTTTTAAACTCCGACAATAATTCATCGAATCCAAATGAAAGTTTAGCAAATAGACTACCTGAAATTAAAGCAATTGATAAGGATTTCAGAGACGGTACTAGATTGATTGAATTGTTGCAGGTTCTTTATGAGGGTGACTCAGAATTACCGAAATGCGAACGTGGTGGTAATACAAGACATCATCATATTGCAAATGTCAGTAATGTTTTAGACTTTTTGAGAAATCGTTTGGATGAGTCGGGTCTGGCTGCTTTACAAGCCATCGGACCCGTTGATATTGTTGACGGTAATGTGAAATTGACATTAGGTTTAATTTGGCTGGTTATTTCAAGGTTTCATCAAATGGTCAGTGTATTTGAAGAAGTAGTAACCGAAGAAGAGTTAGCAACTGCCAAAGCTCAATCTAGACTTTTAAATGGCGAGGTTGATAATGATGACGATGGCGGTAATAAAAAAAATAAAAAAAATCATAATTCTAATATGTGGTTTAATTTGGATATTGAATCAATTGAATCACAAATCGATAAATTAGAATTAATTATCAAGATTAATGATGATGGTGATGGTGATGGTGTTAACAATAACGGGGATGGTGATAACAATAATGAGGATGGTGATATTAAAGATGAAGTTGAAAACATGAATAGAAATAGTACTATCCTGGAAGAAGAAGAAGAAGAAAAAGAAGATCATGAAAAATTGGAACAAATTAATAAAGAAAATTCTTCGATAGAACAAAAAGAAGGTGGAGAAGAAGAAGAAAAATCAGTTGATAACAATAATAATAATTATCTTGGGAAAAAACCAGTTAATAATAACAAAAATTCAATTCGTTATTCAAGAATGTTTCTGAATCCAAGACAAAGTCTCAATGTTGTAAACAATTATAATAAACGAATGTCATTACCAGCAACAGCCAATAAAGATTTTCAACTTCCGCCTAAAAGATTTCGTACATTACGTTTAAATGATTCTTCTATGTCATTAAGTTCTTCATCTGGTTTATTGTTTTGGTTGAACATGCAACTTATTGATTATGCATCCGTATTACCTTCAAGCTCTTATCCAATAGAAGATTTTACAGGTTTAAATGATGGTGTATTATTATCTGCATTGATTCATCATAAAAATATGGAATGGTTTGAAGATTTTGATTTATTTATTAAAGATCTACCTAATAAAGATGCATCATCAACAACAAAATTTGATGAAGTCGAAACAGCAGCAAAAGAAAGATTACAAAAATGTTTTAACATAATAGATGAAAAACTAGATGTGAAACCACCCAAATCTTTGGTTTCCATATTAATTGAAAATAATAATCAATTGAGTAAAGAACAGATTAAAAGTAGAACTGGTATTGCGTGGAGTGTATACATTTCAGAGGTATTTATTTCAATGTCAAATAAAAATAAAAAGAGAACAAACAAAGATCAAGCTAGATTATCAATAATCACACAAAAGCAGCAGCAGCAACAACAACAACAACAACAACAAGAACAACAACAAGAAGAAGTTGATGATGATAATAATAATATTTCAAGAGAATATTCTGAATCTTCAACAGCAATAGATCTGGTTTCGCCACAATCTACTTTATTTGATGAATCATTAGAAGAAGGGTATTCTCCATATTCAACTACGAAAAGTTTCTCAATGGCATGTTCACCGTTATCACCGTTACCACCGTGGTCGCCTAAAAGATTATTAGTGACCGCCATAGTGGATTGGGCTGTAAATTGGATTGTTGGTGATAATATTCATGATGATGATTATTATGGTGATTATTACGACGACGACGATGATGATGATGAGTATTATGAAGATGAAGATGGCGAAATTCATGGTTATGGTGGTGATAATGAAAATGGTAATGCTAAATATGATCGACGCGAAATGAAAACTTATAAAGCTACTAACAGTAGTGGTGATTATGGTAATGATAATAGGAATTTAAATGGTACTTGGAATATACAAAACGTTGATGAATGGAAAAAAAATTATAAAAAAATAAATAATAATAATAACAATAACAATAACAACAGTGGCGAAAATGACAAAAATAATGATAATGATGATAACTCACCATTAGAATTGTTGACAAATGTACATCAATCTAAACTTTACATGAACTGGATTTAAATATTTATTATTTATTTGTGTTATATTTTTGACTTGATAATTTTATTATTTTAGAATATCAATTTGTATTATTATATATTATTTATATTATTTATTTATCTATTTGGTCTCAGATCAAAGTTAAGTATAACTTAAACAACTTTAACAATTTGAGATTCTTTCTTTTGCAACCAACTATTTCACAATGTTTTATTACTGTTACAATTTTTCATTTTTCTTTAATCACTATTTCGCAATCCTTCAACTTGTTCTTCCATTTATGACAAATATATAGAACTTGTCAAATATCGGCATTCGTGACATGTACATTCTTTCAAAAAAAGAATAATATTGTTTGTTGCCTTATTCTCCATTAACATTAAATGACATTGATAGGAGTTTATTGATCTATAAATTTAAATGATCTTTTGAAATTCGAAATTAAGTAAAATTGTCAATGATGTTTGATCAATTCAACAAATTGATCAAAACTACAACATTATCCATAATAATAATAATAATAATAGTGATGGTTGTGATAATAATATTGGTGTGGTGCCAACCCTGTTATCTGCAATCTCAAATTATTCCTTGCTTCCTCCAGTGGAATTGAAATTAGGCGAAATTTCAGTTGAATTGACTGACGTTCATTAGAAAACCATTTGATAATATAATTGTATATCCAATTTAGAATTAACAACAAAGAGAGTACACTGTTTCTCAATCTTTAGATTGGTTTTCAAAGTTTTACTTTGCCTCTCTCAAATGCTATAAGATAATACATGGTCTAATAATAGTATTGACAAAAAAATAAAGGACTTAAAAGTTGAATTATAGCTGGTGAGTATAATAAAAAGAGATCCATATATGAATATTTGAAATCTGTTGAAAAGAACAATGGTAACAAAGTAAAATCAAGTTTGGAAGTAGCAAAATTGGTGCATATTGATGGTAGTCCTTGGAAGGCATGTCAAATTCGTAAGATTACTAATTACTGGTTAAGGTATATATAATAAACTTCTACTATCAAATAAAGGTAAACATAAAAAAACAATTAGACTTGCAGATGATGAGGATATTGCAGAAAAGTGTCAAAGCTGGGTGTGTCAACAGAATTTCAAATGTAACTGCTCCTAAATTTAAAGAATATATAGAACAAGATTTATTGCCAAATATTGGAATTGCCAAGAAAAAGACAATATCTTTGACAACAGCAAGCCATTGGCCTAATATTTTAGGATATTCATATCAAAGATATCATCTAGGCATTTATTATGATGGTTATGAACATGATGATGTTGTTCAGTATTGTAAAAATTTTTTGGAAGAGATTTTTTGAGCATGAAAAATTTACATCAAAGTATGAAGGTGAAAATATGGATCATGTACAGCCTAATTTAAAAAAGAGAGAATACTTGTTACTCATAATGAATGCATTTTCTATTCAAATGATGGAAAGCATGGTATTTGGATCAAAGATGGAGAAATGCCCTTAAGGAAAAAAGGTAATGGAAGGTCAATATTAGTTAGTGAATTTTTAACTGAAATAAATGGAAGATTA